CCCCAAAACCCCAAAACCCCAAAACCCCAAAACCCCAAAACCCCTTAGAAATAAAAGTACTTGAAGGCACCTTATTTAAACCTTAGAATTTTAGTATAAATAAAAGACAAATATGAAACTAGTTATATTGCTATTATTGATACTGTCTGCATGCTTATGCCTAAAGCAGACAGTAATGAAGTACGAAGAGAACATTAAGGTCAAGATGAGCCTGCCGACTGCCGAGCTTGTTAAGTTTGAGATCACTGTGCCAAAAGAGGTCAAGTGGATTGTGATTGGACTTGGCAACCAAACTAAGGAAAGCGACCTTTTTATGATCGAGCATGATCAGCAGCACACTGCGGTTATGGACATGTACTCTGATGGTCAAGGGAGGATTTTCACTGATAATACCAATGATTACTTGCTCAAGATAGAGTCTACAGATAATGATATTTCCTATTCTGTCACCAGGAAGCTGAATACAGAGGATGATCAAGACACTGTTATCGTCAATGGGTTCAATGATGTATTCTTTGCTTATGGATCTGGAGAATCTCCTTCAGAACTAATCCATCTAGATGCTGATAGCTTTGTTCTCGAAATCGCTACAGTTAACAGGAATCTTTCTTCAGGTCCTGCAACTAGTAAAACTAAAGAGACAGCACTCCTTCATGGACTTTTTACCTACATTGCTTGGAACTGGTTCTCTCTTTTGTTGATCATTACAGGAAGATATTCAAAATACTTCTATTCTGTTAGGATATGGGTCCATTTCGTTCTGGGTCTCTTGGCTGTTATCTTCAACTTGATCGGTGTCGCATTTTCAGATGTTGGATACGAGAACTCCCAGAATGCTCTAGGTGATGCTCATACTGGCCTTGCAGGAGTCGTATCCTGGTGGGCAGGAGGTGTAAGCATCATTGGCATATTCAGCAAGGTATGCAGTCGTTACGTGAGACATATGAGTTTCTTGACTACATGGTCAAGGCTAGTGCATATCATTACAAGTTGGTTGCTTATCGTGTACGCTCAATTTGTAATGCTATCTGGATTATATCTCTATAACTCACCAATGGTTCCACTGTTCTATACCCACGTTGCCATCATGGTAGTAATCGGAGTAGTCTTGGAGATTATTTTCTGCTTCATGCTGAAGAACTGGAAGTATGAATACATCAACGTACTCCACGAGAAGATCCTTCCTGAAATGTCTATTAAACACTTTCTAGACTCTGAGAAAAAGTTGGCACTGTTTGATAACTACGTTGTTGATATGGGAGGATATTACTGGGAGCATCCAGGAACTGCATATGTCCTTGAGGAATGCGTTAAAATGGATGTGGGAAAATACTTCTTTGGCTCATACACTATGGAGAACATGATTAAGCCAGTAAGACACTCCTATATTGCCGGAAAGGTATTGATGAGACTCATCGTTGCAAAATTGGTGCAACCAAAAGAGAATGGTATGGCTTTCAGAAAGTCTCAAGAGAACGTAGAGACTGATAAGTCTGACTCTAGGCTTAAGGGCGAAGATATTACCCCAACTATTTATGAGTCTAGCATGATATTTGCTGTTACTACTGAGGTTGAGCATATTCCAAACGTTTTCCATGTTGGATTTGGAAATAGACAAACACAAGTTAAAATGTTTTTCCCAGGAACTGAGATGTTGGGAAGACACTACGTGATCAACTCTCTTCAAAATCAAATTTGCAGATATTATACTATCTGTAATGCTATGCATACAAAGGTGTTTCCCCAGTATCTCAGTTGTTTCAAAGGAGTTTTAGAAGGATCTGAAATCGAAAGAGAATACGACAGTTTCAAAACTATAGATGATGCATGGGACGACAAACTAGAACTCGTTATTAAGTATTATGAACAATCTAAAAATGGAATAACTAAGCAGCTTCTCCAGCACAACAGAGAAGACAGATTCTTCATCTCTGGGCCTTTGAGCAGAGGATACGACCTTACCAGCGACAACATGAGTGGTACAACAGTCATTTTCGTTGGAGGTACTGGAGTTCTCCCATATATGGACTTCTTTGCATATTTAACGAGAAAAATTATAAACAAGCATGATTCCTCTCATGAGGTATTCCCAGGAGAACAGTTTGAAGATGAACTTGACCAAGCTAACTTCGTTGTCTACGGATACTATCCTAAAGCTGCTGACGCTTGTGCCATTGAGTTCTGCAATCAAGCATCGCAGATCTTTGAGAAATTTGAAGAGCAGGAAAAATTCAGCTTTATCCCAAGATACACTAGAGACGGGGACAAGAGACTTGACAAAGATCAAATCATGGAAATCTTGGGAAAACATAAAGAAGAAAGTGGTCTCAAGAATGTCTGGGTATGTGGACCTCCTCCAATGAACAATATGTTCCAAGAGTACAAAAAGATGCTATGCAAGGAGTTTGATCTCCATCATATGAACATCGAAATTTTGTAGAACAATTACATCAAAACGTAACTGTAATTATTTCTGCCTAAATATGCCAAATTTAACATGTTCTTTCAACAATCTGGCAAGTTACGGGGTTTTGGGGTTTTGGGGTTTTGGGGTTTTGGGG